TTATTTATTTGAAAATAATATAATTATTATAATAATAAGTTATTGTCATTAAATACATATACACACATATATATGAATAACAATAATATTTATTTATTATTAATAATTCATATTTTCACATTACATTGAATAAACGTGAGAACCGAGTAAATTTGGGTAAATTATTTAAAATTAAAAACCTGAAATATTGAAATCGAACCTAAAATTTGAAATATTAGTACTGCTCATAAATGATTAGCCCTGATTAGCTCGTCCAGTCTGGACCAACGCGTGGTTCAATCGTCACTGGTCTGATTAGCCCATGGTCAGACAGTCTTTTCAGCGCCCAGTTAGAGAATAGACTGTCTTTCTGGCACCACACTAGAACCCAACAATTTTTCTACACGGGACGTCAAAATCTATGCGTATTTTGTCATATATGTATTGTATGTTATTTATTATGATGCATTCATATTAAGAAAACATTCTTCTAAATTTATAAAAATTAAAATAAATATAAAAATAGAGATAGGGGGTTGGCGCGCGAAACGCGCAGGGGGGCGAATATATACATATATCCTCTATAATCGAAGTTTACAATATGACAATACTAATTGTAAGCCTCAGGTTTGTATGTTTGACTCAGGTAATAATTATATAATGAAACTAACGATTTAACTCTATAGTCTTTTCTTCCTCTATCAAGGAAGAATAACATAAGAACTTCGTTTTAAATTATTTATCTTTTTTTACATAATTACAACTGCCATAAGAATATTTTTGCCTGAAAATCTTACTGTTCTTTACTTCGTCTTCCAGTAAAACTGACATAAGACTATCTCTCTTCAAATTTAACCATGATTTCTTTCTCTTTCCAAAGCAAAATTCATAAGGGTGTCTTACTTTACCTAATTTGCATAAAATTTTGTTTTAAAAGTTGCAAATTAATTCATTTTGCAATAACTTTAAAAAAAATTTCTGTTCTTTGGTAGACACATTCCTAAGGGCGAATAAAAATGTAGTTTCAACCTTTCGATTTAAAAAAATGCTTCCATCTGAATGGAAAAAAAATATGGAAGCTCAATCTATGAAAACATTTGAAGAAATTTATGGAAAAAATTATTATGTTGCATCTGAACTTGATGAATCAAACAATAGTCAACTTCCACAACAATTTAAAGAACATAAATCAAGTGATGACTTTGAGGACGATATCGATTTATTTTAATTTTCTAAGAAAGATGCGAAGAAATGTAAGCTGAATGAACCTCAAGAAAAATGTAGAAAAAAAATTGAAAAATATTTAACATCAGATCGTGCAAATGAGAAAACGGATATTCTACAATGGTGGAAAACTCACAAAAAATTATTTCCGAATTTAGCACGTATGTCTCGCAATTATTTGAATATCCAAGCAACACCCGTACCTGTGGAACGATTATTTTCACGCTCTCTGTTGATTTTACGAAAACATCGAAACCGGCTAAAGGCAGATGTTGCTCTCGAACTTCTATGCATTCACAATTGGACGGAAAAGAAAAATTATTGGATTTTCAAATGCATCAATAATTAGTTAACACGTGTGGACCTTCGTTAAATAGTTATTATAAATGATCAGCCATTGTGATTTAATTATTTTAAAATTAAAAAGAATATTCCTTTTGTCATTTCTTAGTTAATATTTCCTTAGAAAATTGACTGTTGAATTAAAAGTTTATTTTTATGGTTGATTTATTATTATTATTATTGTTATTAATTTTATTATAACCATTCATTTTATGTACTTTAGTTCATCCATTTCAATTTACTATATTCAAGAAAGTTTTTTAGTGTTTTTAATATTTAAAAAAAATATTCATTATTATCAAAAAAATTTTGATGCCTAGTTAATTTTTGAAACTATAATATTCATTTATAAATATAAAGGTTATAAAAAGTTTATAAGTTATTAATTTAAATAAGTAAATAATACAAAGTGCACTGTCCATACTCAAAAATGTAAAGCTGAAAACTGTCCACTAAACTAAATTCGGCTTTTTTCACAACAAAAGAAATTACAATAATAAACTTTTGGTTTGTTTTTACTATTCTCTACGTCAAAAACTGATTTCGTTTTGCTAGTTTAACGAACTCTGAGTTCCACCTTCTCTGTGAACTTGAAGCAAATTCTTAAGTCAGCTTCTTACACTGTAAAAAAAGGGAATTAAATTTTAACTCCCCAGGGGATTCTATAAAAGTCGCACCCATTGGGGAGTTAATGCCAGGAGAGTAAAATAAAGAGAGTTAAAACTTTACACCCAAATGCTAACTCCCCAAGGAAAAAATAACTCGCGCGGGTGTTGAATGAAGGGAGTTAGAAATTAACTCTCTTTTGGAGTTGATTTTTAACTCGAAAAATTTAACTCCCAACTCCCGAGTCCGTTTATTCCCTAAATTTTTTACAGTGTAGACAGTACCTAGCTAATTCCTGGTATACCTACAATTCGAACTTGTATTAAATTTTAATGTCTAGGATAGTAATCCTACATAACTTTTAGCTATATTCTAGACAGGCTTTACATCAAAGAAAGTAAAGGTAAAACTATATAAAAACGTCACACTGTAAAAAATTTAGGGAGTTAACGGACTCGGGAGTTGGGAGTAAAATTTTTCGAGTTAAAAATCAACTCCAAAAGAGAGTTAATTTCTACACGGAGAAAATTTGTTCCTTACATTTTACCGAATTTTTCAATAAACTTGGGATATAGTAGCATAATCGTAATTTTTAATAATTTTTATATTATTTTTTCGGTAACAATATTTAAAATCTAATGTGATATCTTTATTCCTTAAGAACTAGTACTGTAAAAGTTGAAAAAAAATTGAACCTGAACGTTTAATGTAAATTAAATAAATACCTCCTTGATGGGCACTAACGTTTCAGGAATAGTTCGGTAAAACTTTCTTGACTTGCCTAAAGTGTTCGTTTTCAGGAATAGTTCGGTAAAACTTCCTTGACTTGCCTAAAGTTTTAGTTTTCTGGATTAAAATACTTTATTTCAAGTGTCCCGCAGTCGAATGAAAGACTTTCACACTAATAGTTGATTTTTCCAACTTATTTAGACTTAATTAATAATCATTTTATTATTATTTAAATTAAAATTCAATTAATTATTTTAAACACTTATTAATTGCCAAATATGTAATAAATGCTTTTAAATCAAGTAAAAAGAAAATATAAAATGGCAATAACATACTTATTTTTTAACATATAATTTATTCATTTTAATTAAATATGAATAATAGTAAGTAAGTAAGCAAATAAACATAAGTAAGTAAGCAAAAAGGAAATAAATAAGTAAGCAATTAAACATATAAGTAAGTATGTAAGTAAGTAAATAAGTAGGTAAGCAAGTAAGCAAAAAGGAAATAACTTGCTTGCTTACTAGCTTACTTTCTTATTTGCATACTTACTTGCTTATTTCTTTCTTGCTTACTTTGCTTACCTACTTATTTGCTTACTTCCTAATTTCCTTCTTGCTTACTTGCTTGTTTCCTTTCTGCTTACTTACTTCCTTATAGGCTTACTTGCTTACTTTATTATTTCCTTCTTGCTTACTTTGCTTACTTGCTTACTTTGCTTACTTGCTTATTTTCTCCTTGCTTACTTTTCTTACTTGCTTATTTCCTTCTTGATTACTTACTTTCTTTTTTGCTTACTTTCTTACTTGCTTATTTCCTTCTTGCTTACTTTATTCTTTATTTGCTTACTTGCTTATTTCCTTTTCGCTTTTTAATACCTCACAATTATTATTTAATATTTCAGAAAGATTAATTTTCTATTAATTAATTTAATAATTTCCAACTTGCACTTTTAATATGTATATTTTTAATTTTAAACACAAAAATTTAAGAATAATAAGGATTTTTATATATTATTGTTTTATTCCATTAAATACAAATTTAAACATTTTTCTTTATATTAATAAAAACATAATTAAAAAATATTTCATAAATTGACCTTGAATATAGTTAGAAATGATTCATTAATATAAATAATTTTTAATTTTGTACAACGATAGTTTATTAATTTGAATCTTTCTCACAAGCGGTGAAATAAAATTGAGATTAATATATAAGGACAGTTCAAACTTCCTGAAGCATTAATGTAAAGCGTGCGATGTGTGTATTAGTGTATGCGTTTAGAATGTACTGTAGGCAGGTGTATCAATTAGTATTTGCTCGTAAACAATTGTAGGGGGTTTAGGTAGTGATTAAAGTAGGTAAATTGAGAGTTACGGCAGTATTAATATAGATCTACTGAAGTAACATTTTTTTTTATTTTTGTTCTTCAAGTTTTACCGAACTTTCAGTAAATTGCAACTCGTCAGTTTTACCGAAGACTTTAACTTACGTTTTACCGAACTATTCAATAAATTGCAACTCGTCAGTTTTACCGAAAACTTTATCTTACGTTTTACCGAACTATTCAATAAATATGAATGTAGCGAGCACTTGGCTTACGTTTTACCGAACTGTAAGTGAAGCGCTAATACATATATCGTGAGCTTTATGATTTTTACATTATTTTTCAATGCAATTTCTTTTACAGGCTAGTTCTTGAAAAATTACTGTTTTGACACTTCATCCCAGTTTTACCGAACTAAATTCAGTAAAATTTCAGGAATAAATTTTCTCCGTGTAACTCCCTTCATTCAACACCCGCGCGAGTTATTTTTTCCTTGGGGAGTTAGCATTTGGGTGTAAATTTTTAACTCTCTTTATTTAACTCCCCTGGCATTAACTCCCCAATGGGTGCGACTTTTATAGACCCCCCGGGGGAGTTTAAATTTAACTCCCTTTTTTTACAGTGCATTAATTTTACAGGGCCAAAACAGTTTATCAGAATAAATTTCCATGTCAAACACATCTAGAGGCAGTTTATTTCTAGGAAGGTCATGAAAAATTTCAACACAGGTGTAAGTAAAATTAATTTATCGAAGTTTGTTATTACTATAAAATTTGAACAAAAATATATTTACCTGAGATTGTGACCAGATTCTGCACTGACCAGAGGCGTCTGAACACTGCCCTTAAAAATTGCACCCCCAACACCGGTTACACGTAACGTTTCTGCTCCAACGACGACTCTTTCCCTATCCGCGGAAAACAAAAGTCCTCCTCGGGGGTCAGTTATTCGAAATCCTCTCGTCACGCAATCCACTCTGTCCTCGTCTATGAACCAATAAGTGAATTTTGAGCTTTACAATTGCAAGAACATGTTTTTTTTGTTAGACAAACATGAAAGAAGGTTTATATATTTTTAAATGAAATTTTCTCACGTCACTATTTTAACACTCTACTAGACTTTGAAATGAAAAAAGAAATAGAAAATATAATAGATCTTCCTATTTCATTTTCAATGCCGTCGTAAAAATTGAAATTGAGTCAACAGTTACTTTAGCAAATTTTTTGTCTTCGTAACAAGCAGCGCTACAACTATTGGAACTAAAGAACTGGGAAATTTTCTCAAATAAGTTATAATCGTAATTATAAATTGGGAAAAATTCAAAATTTTTTACGTTGAACTCTTTTTTAGAAAGAGTTCTTTCTTTTGAAACATTTACTTAGTAATTTTTAAGACGTTTATTGCGGCCTCTTATTAGCCTTCTAAAATGCATATATTTAGAAATTTAAATTGTTACAAACAATGTTAATTAACAAATAGATAACATTTGTCCTTCTTCATAAAAAAATTGTTTTTTCAGACAAATTTACATTAATGTTTATTTAAGTAATTCTCAAATGCTTGGAAATTGTCTATCAGAAGTGGTGACTACCCGGTGATATAAAGAATAAAATATTCTTTTTTAAATCATCTAAATATTGTCCATATCTAGTGCAAACCTTCAAAATTTGCCGCCCTAGGCAACTGCCTACATACATTGCCTATGTGGTTAATCTGCCACTGCTGACACTAAACCACAAATTTTAATAGTCTATATATTAGAATGTGGTGAAAATTGGGGAATCTATTTTCCCATTTCCTAACATCAATTCGTTAAAAATGGTATATAAAAAATGAGGCAAGAAAAAAAATATTTTGAGCCCATTAAATAAAGTTAAACTATATGTGACTGTCCACGAGAAAACAAGGCTTAGGTCCAAAAAATCAATTTTGATTTTTTTATGGTAATCGACAGATTTTATGTTGCTTTTTCAAATGCAAAAGTCAAAAGTTAAAAATATCAATTACTTTCGACAATATATCGTTTTAAAGATGGGTATGTTAAGCGTAGTTAACCTCAATCGTAGTACTTCAATCGCTCGCCCTGTGAAATTCACGTTTGGGAGCTAAGCCTTGTTTTCTCGTGGACAGTCACATATTATTTTGTATTTTTTAATTTTTAAAAAAATGTTTTTTTCCACCCAGTAAACGAAAACTTATTGAAATGAATTAAAATGAATTCACAAAAAGCTTCACTGAATCCTGGTGTGCGACAAATACGAATTGGAGCCATGTTGCAATTTTCCTAAATTCGTCAAACTGTGTATTGAATTTCCGAACCTTCTATTGGTAGGGGAGTGTGTCTAGGTATGAGACAGGTTTTGTTTTTGACTCCTAAATTGTAAATGGGTAAACAAAATTTTAAATAAAATATACCGTTCAAAAAGTAACTTAAATACGCAACTTTTATTCAAAGAAAATATAAGCACATCGCTTTTGACAGAAAAAAATGTGTCCAGTTGTGAGACACTTATTAAAAATTGCTAAAATTTAAAAAGTTTGACATAAAATGTTATTATTATAATATACTAAATAATAATGTTTATTCGCCAAAATATGACTATCAAATAAACACAATTTAATACACTGAAAAAAAATTTAATTGATTCAAATAACCGATTAATTGACTATTGGGTAAAAATTCCTGAAGTGGGCAACGGACTTTCCAAGGTTTTCAATTTCTATAATAAACTTTATAAAAATAAAGTACTAATAGAGGGACAAACAGTCACCAAGTTTTATTTGAAAATATTCATTTGTTTATTTTTTATAAACAATTTAATTTTAATGTAAAATTTTTTTTTTACATTTATATCTCAGAACTGGATTATCGGATTTTAATTAAAATTTTTGGACACAATTAATGAAGATTTGAGCTTTTTAAGAAAAATTATTTCAATGTTAAAAAAAATTATTTATTGTAAAAAATAATTGTTAATAATAAACAAATGAATAATTAATTGTGTTCTGGACCTTTTTCGTAAAATTTTTTTTAGAACCTTAAACTATATAAATCAAGGATTAAATAACTGAAAGAAAAAGTTGGTAGATCGAAATAGTTTATTAACTGTGAATTTTTTTGTGAGCGCGGTCGCGTTGTTCCGTGCATCGCGGCTTGACGTGGAGCTCCATAAGTTCATTGCACACTCACCACGAACACCAATTATTCTTAAAAACTGAAATACAGAATAAGTATCTAAAATTTAAGATTATTAGTAGAATTATTTTACCGCATTATTGTTTATATTAGTGACAATAATATGTAAAAGTAATTATTTTATTCAGGTATGTTTAAGAAATGTAATTGACTTTCAATTAAATAAATTTTACTTTGTTGGTGTTTAACTAGTATTTTTGTTTTAATTTTCGACTAAATTTGTAAGTAAATATTTTTTTTAATATCATCAGCGATAATTTGAAGAAAAAAAACTGTTTATTACTCAGAAGACAATATTTTACACTTGTAAAGTTTTCAATTTTAACTTTTTGTTCAAAAAATATTGTATAATTTGTTTTATTAATCTAACACAAGGAAATTTGAATTCTCTGCTTTAGACGAAATTTTACCAGTTTCAATAAAAATCCATAACAACAATTTTAATTAAAAGAAAATTTTTTTACTGTGAACTTTTTACTTATTTAACAAAAACATTTTTTATTTACTTACAAATTTAGTCAAAAGTTAAAACAAAAATACTAGTTAAACATTAAGAAAGTAAAACTTATTAAATTAAAAATAAATTACATTTCTTAAAAATACCTGAATAAATTAATAATTTTTACATATTATTGTCATTAATATAAACAATAATGTGCTAAAATAATTCTACTAATAATCTTAAATTTTGAAAACTTATTCTGTATTTCAGTTTTTAAGAATACTCGGTGTTCGTGGTGAGTGTGCAATGAACTTATGGTGCTCCACGTCAAGCTGCGACGCACGTAACAACGCGACCGCGCTCACAAAAAAATTCACAGTTAATAAACTATTTCGATCTACCAACTTTTTCTTTCAGTTATTTAATCCTTGACTTATATAGTTTAAGGTTCTGAAAAAAATTTTTACGAAAAAGGTCCAGAACACAATTAATTATTCATTTGTTTATTATTAACAATTATTTTTTACAATAAATAATTGTTTTCAACATTGAAATAATTTTTCTTAAAAAGCTCAAATCTTTATTAATTGTGTCCAAAAATTTTCATCAAAATCCGATAATCCAGTTCTGAGATATAAATGTTTAAAAAAAATGTTACATTAAAATTAAATTATTTATAAAAAATAAACAAATGAATATTTTCATATAAAACTTGGTGACTGTTTGTTCCTCTATTAGTACTTTATTTTTATAAAGTTTATTATAGAAATTGCAAACCTTGGAAAATCCGTTGCCCACTTCAGGAATTTTTACTCAATAGTCAATTAATCGGTTATTTGAATCAATTAAAATTTTTTTTCAGTATAGCTTCAACCAAAGCATTAAAATCGGTTGACTGAATCGGTTGACTTTCTTCTACTTGACATGCCCAAAAATACTGGAAAAAAATCAAAACAACATTTAAATAGTATGCCTGCAAAGTCGTATTTTTTATGCTGCCCAGATGGGTGTTGACACCGTCTCACAACTGGTGATATGCTGTGTCTCACACCCAGAAATTGGCGCTATTTTGAAACAGGAAAATTAAATTATTTTCAACCGTAGATTAGAACAAAGCAATATTGCATTACAAAATATAAGGAAAACACTAAAAGAAAGTGCATTACATTTACCTTTTCCAATTAATTAACTTGGAAAAAAAGTTTTACGTTTATTGAAAAAACGCTTTTTAGTCGATTATCACACACAGTGTTGGAATCTAACAAAAATAGTTTATATATCCGCTTCGGCGTACACGAAAACGTTGGCTCATATAAAAAGAAATGTTTTTATATAAACGCTATCGGCTTTTTGATATTGCATGTTAAAAAATCGACTGTTTCACAACTGGAGGTGTCTCACAACTGGATACACTCCCCTACAAATTCATTAGACAAGTTTTAGGGCCTTTAATTTTTTTCAATTCGTCAGCACTTGGTCATTTCTCTCGAATGCGAATTCGTTTGCACAAATTGGTGCGAATTTAATCGAATATATGGGTCAAAATAAGTGAAACCGGCCACTTGAAAAATTTTTGTCCCCGAATCTAAAGTTATCTATGGTTTTTGATAGATATATGAGTAAACTTTTACCCGCTAAAATATTTTTCAAAAATTTTATTTATTTTGAAAGTTATCAGGTGTTAAACTTTTAGGTTACTTTTTATTCTTTTCATTATTACTCCGAAACGAATGAAGATAATTTCAATTTTTTTTTGGAAATTAAAGCTAAAAGTCTGTAGTTTAAAGTGCAACTGAAAAAATTGCTGTATAATAAAAATTTCTAATTGTTATTAACAATTATTTTAAACAATTGCGATTTAAAGTATGTTCTCAATGTCGGAAAAAAATCAAACTATACTCATGTGATGCGCAAAACTCTAACGAGTAAATTAAAAAAAAAAGTGAGTAACCTCTAAAATTACAGAAGTTATGCATATTTTTCTGACGACGCGCGGGAATTAACTGATTTGCAAACTCTCGAGCGCGCGGGAATACGCCCGCGCCCGCTCCCGCCGCACTGCTCACACTTGTGTTTTCAAACAATTTATGTTTACAGAGAAGGAAAAGTAATTAAAATATTATTTTCTTACTGAATAATTTATTAATATTTTTACTTTTGGAGTAATTATACATATACATAAAAACCATTTTGTATGTACTCATAAACTGCTTTGCAGTTTTTATGCTTTGATAAAAAACTTTTTTCGTGGGTCTGATATTCTTGAATCGTACAAAAATCGAAATCGATATTGTTTGTGTAGAATTTCATCAAAAAATTTTTTAAATAATTGGATTTCTAAATAAAATAATTGAATCATTTGTCACTTCTCCAAAATTCAATTTTTATTAGTGTTTTAACTGAAATTTCTTCTATAAATCCGCTATTTTTAATAATTTATTATTTCTTAATAATAAATAATAATTAAATTTTTGCCTGGAATTGTAGGTATTAAAATTATTTTTTAATATAATTGAATTCTCTTAGAAAATTTTATTAAACTAGTAGATTTTGAAAATCATTGAATTGAGGAAATCTTCTGAAAATAACTTATATTTGGAGAAGAATTTTATTATTTATAAAGTTTATTGAAATGTTGACGATAATTTAAAAAATTTTTATCATAATTGAATTTTTGCAATCATTTGTAAGTTCATCCATTTATGAAAATTGTAAACGCACTCTCTAAATCTGAATTAGTAGAAAGTTAATAATGAAATGGCGAAAAGTCGTCCACCAAATGATTTAGTAATATATTACTAACAAATAGTGAATTTTACTAATTGATTAGTAGATTTCCACTAACAATTAGTAGAACTGTTTTATTAATAGTCGATAAAATAGTTTTACTAATTCATTTAGTGAAATGAGTGACTTTTAATTAGTGAATTTCTACTAAAACATTAGTAAAATTTTACTAAGAATTAGTAATATTCTACTAATTGAAAAGGGGAAAAGTCGTCCATGAAAACTACTAAAAATTAGTCAAATTTTACTATGCCTTAGTAGAATTCTACTAATTCAGATTTAGAGAGCAACTCTTTTAAAAATTCAAATAATTTTGAAATATTTTTAAACTAACTTTTACTACTTTTATAGTAAAATATTTCTGATAATTTTTACTACTTTCGGAGTAAATTTATTCCGAAAGTAGTAAAAGTTATCAGAAATGTTTTACTATAAAAGTAGTAAAAGTTACTTTATATTTTTCTCCGTGTACAATTATAATCGAATACCTCGAAAAATGTAATTATTCTTAAACATTTTATTAAAACTCGTTCAAAGAATTCAATTATTTAAAGATTTGTTAATACAATTCTTTATGGGAATACAATTTTAAGAAATAATAAATTATTAAAAATAGCGGGTTTATAGAAGAAATTTCAGTTAAAACACTAATAAAAATTGAATTTTGGAGAAGTGACAAATGATTCAATTATTTTATTTAGAAATCCAATTATTTAAAAAATTTTTTGATGAAATTCTACACAAACAATATCGATTTCGATTTTTGTACGATTCAAGAATATCAGACCCACGAAAAAAGTTTTTTATCAAAGCATAAAAACTGCAAAGCAGTTTATGAGTACATACAAAATGGTTTTTATGTATATGTATAATTACTCCAAAAGTAAAAATATTAATAAATTATTCAGTAAGAAAATAATATTTTAATTACTTTTCCTTCTCTGTAAACATAAATTGTTTGAAAACACATGTGTGAGCAGTGCGGCGGGAGCGGGCGCGGGCGTATTCCCGCGCGCTCGAGAGTTTGCGAATCAGTTAATTCCCTCGCATCGTCAGAAAAATATGCATAACTTCTGTAATTTTAGAGGTTACTCACTTTTTTTTTAATTTACTCGTTAGAGTTTTGCGCATCACATGAGTATAGTTTGATTTTTTTCCGACATTGAGAACATACTTTAAATCGCAATTGTTTAAAATAATTGTTAATAACAATTAGAAATTTTTATTATACAGCAATTTTTTCAGTTGCACTTTAAACTACAGACTTTTAGCTTTAATTTCCAAAAAAAAAATTGAAATTATCTTCATTCGTTTCGGAGTAATAATGAAAAGAATAAAAAGTAACCTAAAAGTTTAACACCTGATAACTTTCAAAATAAATAAAATTTTTGAAAAATATTTTAGCGGGTAAAAGTTTACTCATATATCTATCAAAAACCATAGATAACTTTAAATTCGGGGACAAAAATTTTTCAAGTGGCCGGTTTCACTTATTTTGACCCATATAAATGCAGAAACATTTTAAGAACTTTACACTGAAATATTTCTAAAATATTTTTAAAAAATACTATGTTCTGTGTGGGAAATTATTTATTATTGAATAAATAATTTTATTTTTCGCTTACTGAGAGTGAATCTTGCGAGAACACGACCATCTTCTGATCTTGCGGATGCCGTAAAGTTGCCCCAAGACTCAAGAACCAAGTTTCTTCCTCTCCTCGACCTTACGCTGGAAGCTATCAAGGCGTCTAAAATGGCAGCTTGACCTCTCAACTCGATTCCTCCAGGAACGACTTTCAAGGAACCGATACCCTCCTGAAAGATAGAAAGTTTTGAAATTAAGTTTATGATCCACTGTTCTTCTTCGCCTCGAATCCTTTCTACATTCAAATGTCTCATGGCATTTCTTGTAATAATTTCCCTTAGTAAAACTTTCAACGACTCATATTATTCCCTTCATTGGAATCAACTAAGTTTTCCTAAGCAATTTTAGTAGTTTTTCATTAATTTTCACCAAAATACTTTCATTCGTAGAAATTAGTTTTAATTTAATGATGGTATAAAATGGAGAATAGTCCATTCTCTTAATGATCTAATTAAATTACTCAATGTAATTTTTTATTTAATTATAATTATGTATTATGGGTCAATTATTATTATTTGATTATAATAATTTTCATAATTCACTTTCTTTCTTCAATTATTAAATAACCAGTTTATTGGATTTAAATTTGAAAATTCTTAATTTTACTTTCCAATTTAGGTTAATTTGATTATCTGCTTGAAATATCATGAATTTTTCATTTTCAGGAAAAGTATCTTCAACACGAGATTTACTTATTATATTTAGTATTAATTTTAAACATTCTTTTGAAAATGTGTTTCCAATTGTAATAAAATTTTAATTCATGTTTGGTGAATAATTAGAAGATAATTAGAACCAAAAAAGTCTTTGACTTGATAAAAAAATTCCATGTGTTATTAATTTTTCTGTGAGCAATAAGCTGGTGAATCGAAATATTTTCAGTATCTCGTAACATGCGGTTGAAATAGGTTTCGCTTTCATTTGTTCCACCTATATCCCAAGTAAAATTTCCGATCTACATACATATGTAAGAGAGAGCCGGATAGGGTTTACGTCTATATTGGTTTCCGATGATTGGCCACTCTATCGGAAGCAATTGGTTCACCGCATTCGACTATGCTATACGTATAGTGGGCTAGATGCAGTCTGGGTTTCATTATATGCTATCCAGTGTTATGCTTGGAAGCCAGAGGATTTCGAAGAAATAGTGAGGGATGAGAAAAAGAAAACACTCGCCAGAAAAGTTGGCCCATCGCCAGGGAAAACTGTAAAGTCTCAATGGGACAAGCAACCACTTTCAGCTTAATCCGAATGATACTCATCTTCCTGTTTATTCGATTGGATTCCTAGTAGACTGAATTAACTTGATTGTTCAGAAATAAGTTAAGTAAATATGCAGATTAACTAAACATTAAGATGAATGACAAAAGCAAAAAAATTCTTTATCCTTTTATTAAGCAAAAAATTCAGTTTAATTACGTTTTCACATACTGGTAATATTAGAGATTAATTGTAACCAATAAAACCTTCATCACTTTAAAACTTTTGCAAATTCTCAGGTATTTTTAGTTTCTAATATTGATATAAATAAATTGTTACAAACTAAGAAAAAAGCTTTCTTTTTTGTTCTAATTTTGAGTAGGGTAGAGGGCCCCAAGGTGGCCACACTATAGAGAAATTCTTGTGCACTATTTGACAGCACTAAATGCTTCAGGTTATTTTCATTGTTTATGAAAACGAAGTTTTTGGTAATGTTTAGACGTGGATAACTAAACGCGTGTTTGTTTTTAACAGAGACATCGCTAAATTTTGATAAAGAAAATTTTGAAAGCATATTGTTTTTAAAGTGATACTGTGATTACAGTTAATAATTTAAAAGTTCTAAACTTTGTGGTAATTTTGTTTACATAATATAATACAATAATATTATAAAGTAATATCGATAAAATTGTGCGTTTTTATGTGAAATCACTTTTGAATTTTTTAAGATGTAATATTTATCAAAATATATTATGGAAAATGTAAATTTTATCTATTTGGAAAATTTTATGATGAATAATAAAATAATTTAGTTTTTAATGTATTAAATAGGATAAATAATTAACAATATTTTAAAATGGCTTCTTACAAGCAAAAAACAGAGTTTGCAACTATTGATTCTGTGATTATAAGCCAAAAACAATACATTTCAAATAAAATTACCATAAATTGATTTTTGCAACTATTTTTTTAATTTTTTCAGTGAATTTTTGAATGGTGGACACCTCGGGGCCACTTTTTTTTAAAGCAAAATTTCATCTGTTTTTCCAAAGTCGTCTAAGTTTTATTTTTCTTTGTAAAATATTAAAATTTTTTTGCTAAGAAGTAGCTAAGGAGATACAGTTTCAGGGCATATATTATTAATTATGTTATATAATACCGTTTGCGAATTACAGACGTTCAAAATATAGGTGGCTACCTTGGGGTCCCTTGTCCTAAGTATAAATTATGTCAAGTTCTTAATTTTAGAATTTTAAGTAAGAAAAAAGATTTTGTTCTTCCAAAAAACAACACTACTTTGCCTTTAATTTTTTTAATGATAAAAAATTAATTTTCTGTTATAAAGAAATTCTGATATCTCAAACAGAATAGAGGTGCTGAATGTTATAAGCGGATACGCATGATATTCATTTGATTTAATTTTAATTTACTAACGCGTATCCGCTTATACAGGATGTCTATTAAATTTTATTCTTGAAATTCCCAGTTTTTTCCGGTTAAGGGCATCCGGGAAAAATCGAGCCCAAAAAGTGTTTTCCCGCGTGTCGTCTCACTCCTAAATAATTAGAGATATTTAGTTCGGATTTATCATGATAATTAGGGGAATTCATGATGATAAAGAATATTCTCGAATATTGCAAGTAATTTTTGAAATAAATATTGAAAAACGAAATTACAAAAGTTGGATTTTTGGCGAAAGTGAGAGACAATATGGCGGCGAGCACACAGACAAGTGGATCTATGTGTCAGTGGTCAAGGAGGTGGCGCCAATTCTCGGAAGTGGTCGCGACTTGAACTAAGGAAATGTATTAATCTCAAATTACTCCACTTTCAATCGTTAATAAAATAATTTCCTCGCAAAATTATTGCAAAAACGGAGAGGGCCGCTCCTCGGAGAGTCTTCCTCTATCACCCCTCCAAATATGAACCCGAAATATTTTATCCTCTCAAAATGAGACGTCTATACTGAACCGTGAAAAACTCCTTTTTTCCGTATATTTAAACAATTTTTTTCAATAATTATTTATCAAAATTTCTCTAAATTCCGAGAGGACCGCTGGTCCCAGAGCATTTCTCTATATTTACCAAAAAATCCCGACTCAAAATATTCTTTTCTTTTTAAATGAGACGTCTATCACGAAACCAGTATTATTTCCCGGATGCCCTTAATGGTATTTAAAATCTGACTTATAAAAATATTATATGACAAATCCTATTTTAATAAAATAATTGATTATCTACTATAAACGATTACGCAAGCCTGCAAAAAAATAAAAATTTCCGTTGTCTGAGATCGAGAAGTCATTTTCCGTAGTTTTTGGTGCGCTGAATCCGAATCTGGCAACGAAAACCTCCAATCACGTCAGGATTTTGAGAAAAGTGGGGGTAAAAGTTCCAAAAATCTCTTTTGAGAAGTTTTTGAAAATTTCTACTAGGTAAATCCGACGTGCTTGAGACTTGTCATATGAGTCAAATTAAAGCTTGAACTCTCTACTTTACGAAGATATTGCGATACTGCCTACAACGAACTAAATTTTTTGGCAAAAATTATTTTTTTAAAAGTTGTCAAGTATAAAAATTGACTCAAATACAACTATTTTAAAAACTGATTGAATTAACTAAGAATTTGTTAATCGGGGGTTTTTGGGGTCGCTGATTACAAATATGATGTCAAAATTAAAAAGTATGTGGTTAGATTCATAATTATCCACCCTGAAACCCTTCGAGTAACGAATTTTATGAAAATTACATCGATTTTAAAAAGTTGTCCGCAATATTGGATCCAACATTTTAAATTTTGAAAGTCTAACATCATATTCTTAATCAGCGACTCCGAAAACCCCCGAGTAACCAATTCTAAGCGAATTCCTTCAGTTTTTAAAATAGTTGTATTTGAGTCAATTTTTAGGGTTCCGTACACCTACGGTGTATCGGCGGAACCCTACACTGCAAAAACTGGTATCTCACTCGTGTCTTAAAATGAGTTGCTTTAAGTGTTTAAACCATTGAGATACAAAATCTGTTTTATATTGAGACATTTAATTTCATCTCGTGTCTCATTTTAAGACATTAAAGGTAACTCAATGCGTATAAGACACGTAAAACGTCTTCTTAGTGTGAGACGGATACTCGAAACACATTTCGTGTCTCAAAATGCATTGCTAAATGTGTAAGACACTTTGAAACGTCTTAAAATGAGACACATATCTGTTTCAAATATGTGGACTAAGACATCTTATGTGTTTCAAATATGGGACAAAACGTCTCAAAATGAGACACTTGTTAATGCAGTGTATTGGTGAGACTCTTGTGTCCGTAGTCAAATCGTGCCCCCCCCCTAGCGGCTAAACTATTTGACCTAAAGAGCTCAAATTTGGTCCAGATATGTATTTTCACTCATAGATTACAGGAAAAATATAGCGAATGTGATTGGAGGTGATGGTCATACCCAACGGGAAGTTGCCAATGGTAACGATTGGTTCAATAATGGGCCATGCTTGGTGCCCAATGATTTGTTCTTGGCAAAACAATTGGCAACCATCATTGGACCACCAATGGTTTAAACTTGGGATGATCACGCTACTGCCAATGATCGGTAGCCAAGCATCGGGCCAATATTAGTTGCCAAGGAATTGCCAAGGAAACAAAACGGATTTTCAAAAGTTTGATTTTTTATTGGCAGCCAACAAAAAACCAAGGTTTTGAAAATTGATTTTTTTTAATTATTAATTTAAATTTATTTTTAAAAAATATATTTTTCAAAAATTTATTTTAAAAAAATATATTTTTCAATAATATATATATTTTTTTTAAATTAATAGAATATATTAATTAAATTTTTCACCTCTGGTAAAACAAAGGTGAAAGACTGATAAAAATTCCCTCACCGTATCTCACAGTGGAGGGATAACTGTGAATGTCTTTGCAGGAGTGGAGCAGGTACTTATAGAGCCAGTGTAACAGGTCACAA